AAAATAAAATATGGGTTTGTTAGAAGTACTGAAAATAAGTTAAAGGCAATAAGGAAATATTTACTAATGCTTGTTAATTTGGCACTTAGAAATGAACTGGAGTCTTTGAAGGAGAAAATGGCAAAGACAGGTGAAGAGATGAAAAGTACACTGGATGAAAGAGAAGAAAATGTATGTCCTGTGTCATGAAAATATCTTACAGAACCTGTAGGACAGCATTCAATGTAAAATCTTTGTTGGGGTTTTTTCTGCAAAGCTCTGCCTGGGGGATGTTATCTCTGCCAGAGGTTTCTTCTTTCCCAGCTGCTGCCAGCTGTGCCATTGTGTGTCCACATGTGAGCCCTGGTGTTTCAAAAGACAAGCACAGTCACTGGGATGTTCACTCTTTGCTGGAAGTTTAATATTAAAGATTTGTTTGTTTTCAGGCAAACAGAGAACCTGCTTTTCTGTTTTTTCATATACCCACTCAGTGATGGAAGTGCTCTGGATTATCTTTTTCTGTGTAGTGTGAGTTTTAGCTTAAATAGATTCAAACATTTTTACTTTCTTTCTATTGGTTCAAAGCAACCTGGGGTTTTCAGCAAAATTTCAAAATTTCATTGTAAAAGTCCAAGATTTACAATTGTAATTTCAGGTTAAGAGTACTGAAAATGAAATTTCAAGAAAGGAAAAGCCATTGAAGATTCTAGAAAATAATTGGGAAAATTCATTTTTTCATGGATGTAGGGAACTTCATACAAGTGCATTTTTGAAATTGTGAAGATACTGGGTTTTTTTTTTCTTCTTCTTTCTTAACTCTATAATCACTAAAGAACTGGTTCACTGCTCTTAATTAACATCTTGTGGTACTTTATGGCTAAAACTCTGATTATTCTAACATGGCAGCTGGTGTTTCAGTCCTATTGGAACAAACCAGACTGGTGCAAGTGCAGGTTTGAGAACATTTACAGGAATTGCTCACACAGGGAGTAATTTGTAGAATTTACTAATTCATGTCTGAAATATCTCTTTCAGATGAATAATTTAAAGAAGCAGGTGGAAAATAAAACCAAATGCATTGAAGAGTTGCAGCAGGAGGTGTGTAGAGATTTTAATGTCACAAATACATAAACACATTATACTTTGGGTTGCCTTTTCAGCAGGTTTGTGTCTGCTGTGATGTCTTTAGATACACCTATGTAATTTAAAAATTCTCCTTTCTTATCCTGACCCTGAGCAAATTAGGGAGTCATGTTAGGAATCACTTGATTTGTTAAATGAGCCTTAATTTGAAAAAAGCAATTGCAAAAATAATATCTTTAATAAACTTCTATTTTTTTTTCATTTAGTGCATAGTGTTATTTATGTATTTGTAATGAGTATCTCAGTTACCACTAGTAGAAAAAAATTCTGCTCTGGCACAAACTGTAGTAACTTCACTGTAAAAATAAATAACTTGTATTTTTGGTCATGACATCTTCACACCTTCTGTCAGCAGCATCTTAGTTTTAATTCCCATTCTGCACCTCATTTGTTATTCCCTGCTGCTCAGGAGGAGCCTTTCCTAAGGTCACGAAGAAACAGTAATTATCACAGAAATTAGCTGAACATTGATTTGTTTGAAGAATTGTTCTGGAACCTGAGCTGCACAACAGAGAGTTATTTGCCTGATGAAAGCTGGAATTTCTTGATGCAGTTAAACCATGACATAATTCTATTAACTTATTAAGGTACAATGCTTGTTTTGTTTAATTTCAACAGAATAAGGTGCTGAAAAAGAAAATTACTGCAGAAAGCAAGAAAAGCAATACTTATGAAGGGAAGGTAGGTTTAAATAACAT